GCAGCAATTGTTTTGTAGTCCAAGATGACAACTGGACAGGGCCAGAAGCACTGCAGAGTAGGGATGCACCGATATCGAATACGAGTACAGATATCTTTTTGTCGGTACTCGCCGTTCACGAAAGTCCAATTTAGGAAGCCAGGCGACGTGTAATGACTCGCCACCCGACAGCCCGATTAGCAGGGAAGCTGTCCCCATGCTAGGTGATGAGAAAGCATGGATCTGGCTTCCCGGCCAATCAGAAAGAAGGGCACCGTGTCCTTACATGGCGCCTGGCTTCCTGATTGGCCAGCTTCGTGACCAATCCGGAACCCGGGCAGCGAGTCATTACACGCTGGTTGGCCATGGAGCCGGCTTCCTGACACCGGAAGTGTCGGGCTAGGCATCGGAGTATTTGGGCAAGTACGAGTACTCGCCCAAATACTCGGCATCGGCACCGATACCAATACTAGTATCGGGATCGGTGCATCCCTACTGTACAGGACAGCGCTGGATTTCTGGCAGGATCGACAGGGATTTTTTTTCACTTCTTGAACGAAACCCTTTCTGTGGTATATTTAACAGAAGTTATCCGGGAAGTTCAGAGACACTTTAATAATGTTCCTCATCATCCTGTTACATTGTTGCCGGCGGTCATGCGATACTAATGGTGGAGAGTCAGAAGCGACGCCGCAGCTTTGGAAGCGATACGACCTCCCAGCAATCAGCTTATTCACGATGGTTTCCTTATTCATAAATCCGGACTCTGATTTTTTGTTTCCTGAAGGTCGCCATGCAGTCTCTGTGGAACATAAAAATTGTCGTCCTCGTCCGGGCGGAACACGAAAATCGGATCACGCACATCAGCACGTCCAGCGTAAAGACCGGAATCGCCAATACTCTGGGTGAGTGAGAGACGCTTCATAGAAACACAACAATCAATGAATCGCCTATAACTGTGAGATCAATAAATATATTTTTCAGGAAATCTAAGGGGCTGATTTATAAATCTTCCCCCCAACGTATCGCAGGGCGAATGCCGCGCACACATCACTACCGCCACTAGGTGGAGCTGAAGAGTACAGGAATTTACTATGTTCCTCAGCGCCATCTAGTGGCGGAAAGCTTACAGCTTACACTGCCCATCAGTGATGTCACCAAGCTCCGCCCCTATGCGTTTTGTCATCATAGACTTTGTCACGGGTGGACTCCTCTAATAGGAAGCCCTGTACCATGCGACTATAACAGCGCTCCCCGGTATACAGCGTCATCCCCGTACATAATCAATGCACCGATTGGTTATCTGGCAGTAACTAAATGCATAAAAAATTATTTTAAAAAAATCCCTGAGCACCTTCTTATAATATAATCACCAACTATGAACCCGAAAACAGCCTCATAACCAGAACCTCCGGAATACTGAGATACAGAAAACAATATTTACAAATGTTATAGAATAGAGAGAATTCCTATTCCTCATATACGGTGTATCCTATAATAGAATTCCTATCCCTGAAGATACGCTATTAGCATAGCGGGGAAGGCGGCTGCGCATTTTGCATCACTCCCGCTACGCTAATAGCTTATCTCCTCAGAAGCTGCACACTGCGCGCGTCGGTTTAAGTAGTAACCAGCACACGCTGTATGCAACTTCTAACAGCGTGGGAGACGGGAGGCCGGGCTTGTTGGATCCAGGAATCAGGGGAGTATTAGAAGACGAAAAAAAAGTTTTATTTTATGTTCCCGGATTTTATTTTAAAAAAATGTGTCACCTTACCTTATCTCATATACAGTGTATCTAATAATAGAATTCCTGTTCCTCATATACAGTGTATCCTATAATAGAATTCCTATTCCTCATATACGGTGTATCTAATAATAGAATTCCTATTTCTCATATACAGTGTATCCAATAATAGAATTCCTATTCCTCATATACAGTGTATCTAATAATAGAATTCCTATTCCTCATATACAGTGTATCTAATAATAGAATTCCTATTCCTCATATACAGTGTATCTAATAATAGAATTCCTATTCCTCATATACAGTGTATCCAATAATAGAATTCCTATTCCTCATATACAGTGTATCCAATAATAATAACAATGTATAAACCAGTCTAAGAAATATAAAATAATAGAAGTAGAAAGGAAACGCCGGATGTGTCACCTGACTCTATATTCTGTCCATTGGGGGGAGTTGGTGATCTGACTTTTTGCCTCTTTGATGATTCTCTCACCTGAGTGCTTCCCCCCAAATTCTATCATTTCCCCCGATATTGGAGAAGACTCGGATCCTTGTAAAGTGAAACGTTGTGATTCTTGTACCTTCTATTGATACTAGGGACGCACCGACACCGAGTACTTGCAAGAGTTGGATTTGAGGTCAATGTCCCATTTTTCAAGCTTTAGTTCCAGAGAATTCACCAGTCCAAGTTCTGTGTTAACGGCTGCTATGACTTATAGGCAAATCCTTCATGACAATTAAACATTGTAGGCTAGCTTACGACTTGGTTACTATCACCATCAGACTAGTTGGTTATAGCAAAAAAGATGGTTAAGTGGAATTCTACTTTTGCATATGAACTGCGCTGTCCAATGACAGCGGAATCATAGGAATTGAGAACGTGCATTATGTCACACATGGTGGTTAACCCATACATAATTGTTTGCTAATTGACCAACGTTCAGCTTTGGCTTTAGACGTTGAACGGTCAGGAGATACAGCACAGTCACGGGTCATGGCTGAGACCAAGCAGGAGGCTCTTTGGCGCAATGGATAGCGCATTGGACTTCGAGAGCTTGGAGTAATTCAAAGGTTGTGGGTTTGAGTCCCACCAGAGTTGCTATCTTATTGGTGAACGGCTAGCTTTAGTCTATAAGTATGCTGGATTGACCTCTTTCATTAGTGTACATAGTGACCGGAGTACTATGTGGTCTAGACTAAGGAAGAGCTTTTGGTTAACGGCTGCTATGACTTATAGGCAAATCCTTCATGATTAAAGTTGGGTTTGAGGTCAATGTCCCATTTTTCAAGGTTTAGTTCCAGAGAATTCACCAGTCCAAGTTCTGTGTCATGTCATATCATGTCATGTCATGTTCTGCCGGACACCCTGTGATGGGTCATGGCTGAAACCAAGCAGGAGGCTCTGGGGCGCAATGGATAGCGCATTGGACTTCTAGAGCATGTAATAATTCAAAGGTTGTGGGTTCGAGTCCCACCAGAGTCGAGATCTTAATGGTTTATGGCCAGCTTTAGTCTTGAAGTAAGCTGAATTAACCTATTTCCTTAGTTTACATTGTGAGCTTAGACTAAGGATGAGCTTTGGTTTCCCCAATACCGGAACTTCCCATCAGAGGAAGATTTCCTCTGACCGGCAGTGCCGTAGGGGAACATGGAGTCGGCTTTCCGGGCAATCAGGAAGCTGGGCTGTGAGTAATGACCTGGCTTCCTGATTGGCCGAACAGCTTGCTCGATGCTGATTGGTTGGTAAGCCGGCTTTCCAGCCAATCAGGAAGCCAGAGGCGGGTCATTACCTGCCGCCTGTCTTCCTGATTGGCCCGGAAGCCGGTTTCCAGGCCAATCACAATCAAGCCGGCCAAGCTACACGGAGCCGGCTTCCCCGGCAATCAGGAAGCCGAGCAGCGGGTAATGACATGTAAGGATGGGCTCGGGCGCGTTCGCTGCTCCACGTGCCGAGCCCGCCAGGGAGCTGACAGCGCCGCAGCTCCAATCACAGGCACGGAGACATTTCCCGATCTCTGCAGCTGCGAACGCGCCCGAGCCCATCCTTACATGTCATTACCCGCTGCTCGGCTTCCTGATTGCCCGGGAAGCCGGCTCCATGCCAGCGGAAGCACCGGCACCAGTACTCGGTATCGGCTAGTACAGAAAGCAAAATATCAGTTCTCGATATCGCAAAAACCGGTCGCGGTGCATCTCTAATTAATATTATTTGATTTGGTTCTCAGACCTTTTATTGCGCTCAGCCCTCTGACGTGTGGATACAATGGAGGGGAATTGATCAATACTGCCGCAGACAGAATCTGGAGCAGCTGCCCATGGCAACCAATCAGCTTCTCTCTTCAGTTTGTTCAGTTAAGTTTTGAAAATGAGAGAGAGAATCTGATTGGTCGCCGTGCACAGCTGCTCCAGGACTGATACATTCCACTCTTTGTATCTTATTGTTTTTCTCTTTCTATTCTCTTTGTATCTCTTCCATCTCCTCCGGGCAGAGATTCCCTCTCATTGCATATTACGTTGTCACACACGTTGTTCACATGTAACAATATGGAGGTCACAGTAAAAGGAGAGTGTAGCGGGAACGGTGGCCGCCATGTCCCTCAGTCTCTAATCGCCTCGCTGTCTCTCCCGGCAGGTAACAAAGGCGCGGTGGGAATATCTTTCATGTTTAATGGAACCTCGTTCGGCTTTGTGAACTGTCACCTGACGTCGGGCAACGAGAAGACCACCAGGTGAGTGGTTGCGGATTGGTCGGGACAGCTCTGCCGGACAGACATGTCGGATCCTCCTCCGAATAGACGTGACGGGTGTGACGGCGAGAGATTCACAAATGAAACGTCTTCTTTATCCGCTTCGCAGACGGAACCAGAACTACCTGGACATCCTGCGGCTCCTGTCGCTCGGGGACAAGCAGCTGAACTCCTTCGACATCTCTCTGCGCTTCACACATCTCTTCTGGTTCGGTGACCTGAACTACCGGCTGGACATGGACGTACAGGTGAGGCGGCCATCTTGGGAGTGGCGATCGGGGGTTTGGAGTCTGGGGCATATTCCCAAAGGCGGCTCCCTTCCTGCGGAGGAATATCACGTGTAGTCACTATAT